TAAGAATCGTAATTTCTCTAATCATACATGTCTACCATGACATGTGAATCTTTTCACGCATGATTTTGATGAAAAATAGTGGAAGTTAAAACATATAAGAAGAATTTGGAGTAGTCATGTATGATGATTCTATGAGATGAAGTGTGTCATTCAATGAAATGAATGGTATTAGTAGTGTATTCTCATTAGTGTGTCGAGTTCATGACCATTTTGCGACTAAACCCAATTTAAAACATTTTAAATCTCATACAAACTAATGTAAGAGTGATTATTGGTCATATAAACATCATTTGAGACCTAAATTTGATATTTTATGTGTTCGTTACAAGTGGTACTGAAGACCAAATATTCGGTACTACAGGAATATAAAAGTGGTACAATCTTACTCTAGGTCTGGTACCAATTTTTGCAAATGTTGACCAAAGTAATCCGTTTTTGTTGACCAGTGTAGGTACTAATTAATCGAAAGCAGGTACTTCATAGAAGACGAGTCAGTACTATTTTTGTCAAAACTGGTACCGTTTTAGTAATCGTGATTTCTTTAATTCTCCATTTCTACCATGCCACGTGGATCGTTCACGCATGATTTGGTTGAGAATCAGTGGAAGTTAAAACATATAGGTATAATTTGGAGTAGTCATGTATGATCATTCAATGAAATAAAGTGTGTTTTTTAATGAGATGAAGTGTATTAGTGGTGTTTTTCATTAATGTGTTGACTTCATGACAATTTGTGATTAAACTTAATTAAACACATTTTATATCTCATATAAACTAAAGTGAGAGTGATAATGTCATATAAACATCACTTGAGACCGAAATTTGGTTCTTTTTTTCTTTTATGTTCGTCATAGTTGATACTGAAGACCCAATATCGGGTACTAAAACACCATAAAGTTGGTACTATCTTACTCTAGGTCCGGTACCAATTTTCGCAAATGTTGACTAAAATTGAAGTAATCCATTTTCGTAAACCAAAAGTAGGTATTAATTGATTAAAAACATGTACTACTCAGAAGAAGAAGCGGCACTATTTCTGTCAAAACTGGTACCATTTTAGTAATCGTGATTTGTTTAATTTTTCATGTTTACCATGTCACGTGGATCGTTGACGCTTGATTTGGTTGAGAAATAGTGGAAGTTAAAACATATAGGTAGAATTTAGAGTAGTCATGTATGATCATTCAATGAGATGAAGTGTGTCATTTATTGAGATGAAGTATATTAGTAGTGTTTTTTCATGTGTGTTGAGTTCGTGACCAATTTGTGATTAAACTTAATTAAACACATTCTAAATCTCATGGAAACTAATGTGAGAGTGATTATTGGTCATGTAAATAAAATTTGAGACCGCAATTTGTTGTGTTTTTAAGTTTGTCGGAGTTGGTACTGAAGACTCAATATCTGGTACTAAAACACCACAAAGTTAGTACTATCTTACTCTAGGTCCGGTACCAATTTTCATAAATTTTGACCAAAACTGAAGTAATTTATTTTCGTTGACCAAAAGTAGGTACAAATTGATTAAAAACAGGTACTATGCAGAAGAAGAAGCGGTACTATTTTTATCAAAACTGGTATCGTTTTAGTAATCGTGATTTCTTTAATTCTCCATGTTTACCATGTTACGTGGATCATTGGCGCGTGATTTGGTTGAGCAATAATGAAAGTTCAATCATATATGTTCAGTTTAGAGTAGTCAAGTAAATGAGATGAAGTGTGTAATTCAATAAGATGAAGTGTATTAGTAATATTTTTTTTTTCATGTATGTGTTGAGTTACATGACCAATATACAATTAAACACATTTTAAATCTCATAGATACTAATGTGAGAGTGATTATCGATCATGTAAACATCATTTGAGACTGAAATTCGTTGTTTTTATGTTCATCAGTGTTGGTACTGGAGACTCAATATCTGGTACTAGAACACCATAATTGCGGTACTATGTTACTCTATGCCTGGTACGAATTTTGCAAATGTTGACCAAAATTGAAATAATCAATTTTTTGTTCTTTCTGCAAAGTATGTACTAGTAGATCATTAATTGGTGAATAATCATAAATATTAGCATATTAGATCCCCTTTCTTCTCCTCAAAAGCAGCTCCTTCACAATATCTCCCTTCTCCCCAGTCTCA